GTGGCTAAGGCACTGCAGCGCGGGGGCCGGGGGCGGGGCCAGAGGGAGGCGGGGCGGAACTGAGGACGGGCGAGGGGGCGGGGAAACACGCAGAAGCTTGGTTGCTGGGGCGTGGCTGTAGACCAGAGAGGCGGAGCTAAGAGGCAGGCAAGGGGCGGGGAAAGCGTGGAAAGGGATCAGATGAGAGGCGGTGGGAGCGGGTCTCTGGGAGGGGGCGTGGTCTTTAGAGAAACAGGGGCGGGGCTTGGGGATAGACGGAGGGGTCTGGGGAGAGAACCGAGGCGCCTTGGCGGAGAGGATGGGAGAATGGATCTCCGGATGGGTTGGGGCGGAACTAGGAGCAACAAAGATGAGAAGACAGAAATATTCTAATGTTCTGAGGTAGGGTCCTAACCTCGATTCGCAGAGGGAGTGGGACTAGGGAAAACGGGGAGGGAAGAAATGACTCCAAAAGTTTTGAGGCGAGGGGAGGCGCTCAGAAATGGGTGGGGCCTAAGCCAATTTAGAATATTCAGATAAGTGGGTGGGGTCAGCTGGGAGAGAGCCGAGCTAGAGGTGGGGCCGAGAGGGAATAAGAAAGAACCTGCAAAGGAGGGGGCGGGCCCCAGAAGGTGGACCAAACCTGGAGTGCAGAGGCTTGGCCTGGAGTTGAGGCGTAGTTAGGATTTCGAAGACTACAACCATCTGAGGCTGTGGGCTTGAGTTGATGGGCAGTGGAGAAGCAACAGAAGCTCGGGGTAAGGGTCGAACAAAAAAAATAACCAAAGATTTAAATGTTTTGAAGCTGGAGGTGTGAAAGTGGGCGGAGCTTACAGCGGGGCTGGGGACCAGAAGCCAAGGCGTTATGGTTAAGAACACGGTTTCTAGAATTCAGTTCCCGGTAACACCAATTACTAGCTATAGGCAGGTATTCCTTTGTGACTCGGTTTCCTCATATGTAAATTGGAGATAATGGTATACAAGCATTCCCCGGGGTACGAACTTCCGACTTATGGACTACTCATACTTGGCTTTTAATATTATGTAAATTTGCCCTCACTTTCTAACCCCTAATTTACAACAAATTCTTCATCACAATCACCTTGCCTTGCTGCTGGTGTAGCTTTTAAATAATTGGAAAGGCTTCTACCCTTTTCTTGCACTAAAGAAAGGCTAAATAAGAACTGTATGTACCTCTTCCTACTTACCTACAAATTCGAATTTTCGATTTACGAATGAGGAACGGATCTCATTTGTAAGCCAGGGACTACCTGTAAAATAACGTGTGCCACATGGGTAAGTGCTACCAATCATTTTTTATCATGTTCCCTCACCCAGGTCCCAAAACCTGCTTTGAAGGTGTAGGAGAGGAGACCTAGAAGTCTAATCTCCTTTTTAAACTCGACTTGACCAGTACATAGGAATGGGATTTAGGTGGTTTAAAATCTCACAGCGGAGCAGATTGATGGCTGGGGGCCAGGGTCCTGACCCCAGAGGCTAAGGAAGGCGGCCTTCGCCCGCCTGCTGGAGCGCCTCCTCACGCCAGCTCTCGAGTTAGAGGAGGCTCAGGAGGAGGAAGAGGGAGGGGAGCAAGTCCCCCGACATGCCTCAGTCCTTTCTAGCCGCGCCGCGCCGCGCTCAGCGGCCGCATGGGGGCGCGGCGACGGCGTGGGGCGCGAGCAGGGCAGAACTGGCGCGCGTTCGTAGAGGACGCGCACTGCGCTTGGCTCTTGTTGCCGGGGCTGCTTCCGCGCTGGGGCTCCTTCGCTGTTCTCGACCGCCACGGCGGGGCGCTAGCAGCCCGCTTCGGCGCGCGCCAGGTGCTCGAGGCGCTGGGCCCTGGGCCCGGCGAGCCGGAGGGCTTGCTCCGGACGCTGCGCCGCGCCTGCCGGAGCGCTTGCTCGCGCTCTGGCCACGAGGCGAGCTGGGGCGGCTCCACGGCAGTGGTGTTGCTAGTCTCCTCGCCCTTCCTGCACCTGGCACACTGCGGCGACTCCCGCGCTGTGCTGAGCCGCGCTGGCGCCATAGGCCTTCAGCACCGAGGACCACAGGTCCCTGGGGCCCAGGGAGCCACAGCGCATCCAGGACGCGGATGGAAGCCTCCGCCGCTGGCGCATCGAGTGCTCCATGGCGGCGTTGCGGGCGCTGGGCGACTTTGCCTTCAAGGGGGCTTGAGGAAAGCCCCCGAGCTGCAAAATCTTGTCTGCGGAACACGAGGTGGCCGCTCTGGTCCACCAGACCAGGACGAGTTCTTGTTTCTGGCCTCCAACCGCATGTAGGACGCAATATTTGGCGCCTCCCGGGTGAGACTGGTGACTTCGCGCCTTCGCTTGCGCCTGGCCCCAGCTTCTTTAGGGGCAGCTGTTGGACACGTGTCTGGGCAAGGCAGTAGGGGCGGGGCGTGGGAAGGGGTAGGGCTTGGTACAATGAAAGGGGAGAACACGGGATTTAGGGAGGAAGGCTTTGATGGAGAGGCCGACCTAGAAGGCATGAGTTGTTGTTAAGTGCCATCCAGTCCACTTCAACTCGTAGCGACCTCATGTGACAGAGTAGAATTGCCCCCATAGGGATTTCGAGGCTGTAATCTTTACAAGAGCTTCAAACAAATCGAGGAGAGCCAAATTATGACCTTGAGTGTATCTCACCTGAATCTAGAGACCATGTCAAGAATAATTTTGAGACACCGAACACTAAGGACCGAAGACGAGACGAGTTGTGGGATGATGACATCAAGGACACATACACGAAGAAAGCAAAAGGTCATTAAAAAGATAGGAAAGAAAGAAAAGACCAAAATGGATGTCAGAAGAGACTCTGAAACTTGCTCTTGAACTTAGAGTAGCTAAAGCAAATGGAAGAAATTATGACATAAAAGACCTGAACAGAACATTTCAAAGGGCAGCTCGAGAAGACAAAGTATTATAATGAAATGTGCAAAGACCTGGAATTAGAAAACCAAAAGAAAAGAACATGCTTGACATTTCTCAAGCCGAAAGAACTGAGTTGTAATATTGAAAGATTCTATGGGGCAAAATACTGTATGATGCAGGAAACATCAGCAGAAGATGGAAGGATATAAAGCCAAAAACTATAAAGTTCATAGAAGAAAAAATAGGACCAACGCTACAGGCTGTAATACACGGCCTTAACAGAATACAAACCATAACCACCAACACACAAACTCCAGAAGATAAGCTAGATAACTGGGATCTTCTAAAAATCAAACACCTATGCTCTTCAAAAGACTTCACCAAAAGAGTAAAA